TTTGCATCCCGTCTGGCTGAAAACGGGCTCCTCAAAACAGTCGAGGCACTCTTCTTGGGCCAGCTTCCCGCAAAGTATGCACTGCTGGGGACCTGAAAGGTGCCAGGGCGGTTTGCGGACACTGAGTTTCGACTGCTTTCTACGTGACGCTCTGCGCTTACCTTGAGAGAGGAGACGAGTAATATCCAGCTCCAAGGAAGGAATGATTTTGTCAAACATTTTGAATTTCTTGCCAAAGCGAGGCATCTGAAGAATGAGGCAGGACGGCACCTGAAATCCGAAGACGGCGTCACCGGGGTGCCCAAATCCCACGTGACTCGAGGTTTCGGAAAGCTACGTGGAGACAAGGAGCCCGTCTCACCTCCGCCAGTTTGAGTGCGGCGTTGTGAAAGGAATGTTCCAGCAACTGCTGCACGGTCGGAAGCACCAGGTTGTGGTTCTGCTCCAGGAAGATCTGATAGCAGAAACTCTCCTGCACTTTGCCACCAACCCATCTAAAGCGGACAGCCGGCAGTGGGGCGGATTGATGACAACGGCGCCGTCGCCGGCGGTGGCGGGGGACTTACAGTTTGAGTAGAGGGTCGAGCGCGAGAATGTGATGCATGACGATCGTCAGAAACTCCTCCGGATCTGCAGGGAAACGGCCGGCGGGTGAGAGCGAGGCCGCCGAGTGCCTGAAAGCGGGCCCTGATGGCTCAAACTCACCCTTCTCCTCTGTGGTGAAGGAGTGACAGTAGCCGTGCTTTTCCAGCTGCTGTCGGAGCTTCATGATATGTCGACCTTGCACAAAGCCCTCGCTGGGGGGACGGGGGGAGAAGGGGACAAAGAAAAGCATCCAAAGGTAACTCGCAACAACCTCCCCAAACCGTCGCCGGAACCCGACCGAAGGCACGCACCTTCGAAGGGGGTTGACGATATCATTGAGCAGCGTTCGCTGGATGGGGGCGTCTTGCGGCTCTGTCGATTTAAACAACATGGAGTCCAGCACGGACGAGCAGGAAAACAAGCTGAGAACCCAGAAAGAAGCGTCTCGGTTACATCCACGCTGTCTGCCTGATTTCCAATTTCCTCCCGCAAGACATACAGTAGTTTCCATCCGTGCGCCATTTTGCCGCACCCTTTGCCTCTTGACGGTTTGCTTCATTTGCAATTTCAAACTATCCCGCACCGGAGGCGGTCGAGACTGCGGGGCAGGCCAGAACGGCCACAAAGTTCAGAGGTAAAGACATGCAAAAATAAACCAAATAAATCACTCAATCGATCAATGAAAACAAAACAAATCAACAGCGGCCTGGATGGTCCCCACGACGACGACTTGCGCCGGTCGGGCGCAACCGCACCAATTCCCTCTCCTAACCTGAAGAGGGCGGCATCCATGTAGCAAGAGTTACAGTGTCCCTGGATCCCCTTCATGCGTCCCACCAGAATTTGGTCAACTTGATCCGCGCCGATGGGAGCCACGGGCTCCAGTCTGCTCTGACTGTCTCGGCTTGCTCCGTCTGAAGTCAAACACACAAACGTACTGTATCGATTGAATGATTCCTTTTTTTTGCGTGGCGCGTCACTGACAATCAAGTGGCTGGATTCAAACGGTCACGGAGATGACTTTGAATCCATATTTGGAAGAATTCCGGATTCGCACCGGAGGAGAGCCACTTCCACGCCCTTTTTGACTTGAACGGCGACACGGCCAAATTAGACGCAAACAAATCCCACTTGGAGGTGCCGATGCCGGACAAAACTCTGGGGGATTCACCTCCCCAAATGTCATGCGCGGGGCTCCGTAGGATTGCGGTGCGATTGGATCTGTTTGTCTTGTCAAGAGAATCGGCACGAAGCCACTTTGGCGGTCTTCGGGGGTTCAACCCGAGGTCCACCTGTGAGGCCTACTTTCTCCGCTGACCTGTGACTTTGCGCTTCGGTGCCGCGTCGTCGTCCCTGTCATTCAGAAACCGCGCATCGGGACGACAAGCGCTTTTCTTCACAAAGAGAGCCCGCCGGGGAGGACATTGGAAGAAAGACACATTTTTGAAGGTCCCGTCACTCACTCCCACGTCCTCTTCCTGCAGAAAAGGACAACGGAAATCAAGAAATGAGCTCCATTAAGCTGCTTTTATTTAGGGGGGGCTTCGATCGGGTCACGTGAAGCAGCCAAAACAAAGGATGCAAAGTGCGCCTGATAGAAATTGAACAAGAAATGATTTTTTTTTTTTACTCGACAAAAGCATTGCACTTTTGACAGCGCCAATTCCTTGCTCACGGCGATCGAGTTACCAGCTCAAGGCCAGCCATGATTTCCTTTTGCCCGGGAAGGGTCCCGATCCAGCGGATGATTCCGTATAAACGGCGGGTGCCCAGGGACACCTCCACGAGGGAGTTCAAGCCCATGGCCGATTCCGTTTCCGCCGCGCGGTTGTCGAGGGCAATCAGATCGGAATCTGCGGAGGGGAGGAAAAAAACACCTTTGGGTAAAAACCTCCTCCAAAAAGTGTCGAGTCGGTCGAGGGATGTCGGTTCCCACCGGCAGGATATTCCCCAACGACAACAAACTGAAGCGGGACTTCGACTTCGCCCGTCTTCCCGGTGGCATCGATGTCCTGCAAACATGAAAAAGGGCAGAGGCGAAAATTGAAATTCGACATTTCGCGTGGATAGCCCAAGTTTTGTCCCCGTCGGAGAAAAACTCTTTGGTGGAGGGAATGTAACCTATGCCCCTGTGTCGGCCTGTCAAGCACGGGCCCGCCAACCCGCTCGCTGTTCAAAGAAAGCTCAAGCCCGACTCTTTGAATGACACGGTGAGGAGAAAGAAATGCCGTCCAGAACTTTGTGAAGCACGAGGGAAAACATGCAAATGGGATCCAAATTCAACGGTGTTTCCCACAACGCTCACTCACCGTAGAGATCAACACAAAGCGTTGTCCGTCCTTCTCCCGGACGTTGAGCACCATTCCATAGCAACAGTAATCTTCGATGAAGTAAGTGACTCTGTCTCCCGGCACCGGCATTGCCGTTTCCCAACCGGAAGGGGACTCGGCGTCGGCCGAGGGGAAGGACTCGGAATGGCGTGGCCGCACTCTGGAAAAGGGGGCGAAGATGCCACAGTCTCGGTCACAGGTGAAGAGGGTCACGTTGTCGTAGCGGCCGTCTGTGTTGCCCTTGCCCTTGTCTTCCCCCTTGGAACACAGAAAGACAGCGCCCTCCGTTCACCAAGACCGTACTCGGATGTGGGCGCGGCGCGTTCGCGCCGGCTCGCTTTTCTCCCGTGTCGGCCCGCCCGGCAGGCCTGATGCCCGTGCGGAACGGACCGACGTTCGGAAGGTCATACCTGCAGTTCGACTCCAAAGAATACTGCCGTCAACGGCTCTTGGGCCGCCGCTTTTGACAGTTTCCCAATGTAGCGGAGGACGCCGTTCAATGTCTCTCTTCCTTCTTCCACCACCACTTCAGTCCCCTCGCAAAGTGTCAGCGCTTGACGGAGAACATCTCCGTCCCGGAACCACCTGAGCCTTTCAGAGTCGTCGGCGAGGGCCAACAGCAGCGCGGCCTCAGCCGCACTCAGTTCTTCCAGACGTCGCTTGTCTATCTCGATGTACGGTGGGAAAAAGGAGCCCAGTACGAAGACTTGCAGTTTTTCAGCAAAGCCAAAACTACGTTGGCGCTCATACGTGTAGCATATGCAGCCGGCGTCGCAGTGTCGGAGCGAGTCGGGCGTTTCGGTGACAATGAAGTACTGGATGCCCGGTGACGTCATGATCCTGACGGCCACGTCGTGAAGCAGGACACTGGATCACCTACTCGAGACAGAAAAAGGTTTCAAAACACTGACCTATGACACATTCTCTCTGCACGCGTACACGGAACGCCACGTCCTCTCCATGAAACTATGACGCGATCATACTTGAAATGTGCATTATACAGTAAATACTATCTATCGATGTGGTTGTGTAACCTTGAAATATTTCAGCTGACTGCGTCTTCGTACTCTTTTGCACTACTTTCGAAGACACAATAAATGTCTCTTATCAGCGACGTTGCCGTCCGTATGCCCCAAGATGTCGTGAAAGCAAAACCCCTTCACCTGACTGCATCATGTCAGTACTCTTCATGAACAGCATGAAACGTGTCCACGACGAGCAAGCGGTCGAGCTTCAGTGAAACGTGAAGTGGCAGTTTAAATGTTTGGACGCACTTCCCGAATACGGACCGTGGGGGCGATTGTGGTACTTCATAGGACTGGTACGTACTCATAGCAGCCTTACTTTCCTATCCCCACCCAACAAGCGAATTCAATTGGATAAAATGGGTTTCCGAACAATAAAATCATCGATCGCTTCGGTGCCTGGAGAGGAACCCCCCCCCCCAGCGCCGGCTAGCCAAATGAATTGACCCTAACAACATTCAATGTGCACTTTGTTCGCTATCATGCTAATGGGGAAGACATGGGTTATTCACTCAATTTGAAGAAGGTGCGTTGCTTCACAAAGCCAAAATTCAAATGTTACCAATAACTTAGCTCGTCCGAATGATTGTTTTCCTTGTTATTTTGTCGCCATTCGACGCGTCTTGATCGTAAGACGCTCTTCCCCTTCGATTTTTAAGTCAGAAAGACGTCGTTTGGAAGCTCCATTCTTCTGATCAAGGGGCCAATTTTTGGCCAACCTGTCAAATTTTGTTATCTCTGTTCTCAACTATTCACGGTGACAGCGACACAAAACTGCGTTACTTTCGCTTGAAAAGGCAGAGGCCACATCTCATTTCTTTACACGTCGGTAGTAGAATCCTCGTCTCGCCCGCTGTTTTACGTGTTGGCGCCGGTCATCATCAAGCCCAGCGAGCAGATGAGGAGAACATCAGCGGAGACGAGGAAGCTAGTTTGAGTGAAGAACTGAGACGAGTAATATTAATGACGTCATTTCACGGGGACGGCGATTTGAAGACGAAGGCGCGTCGTTGACGAACTGTCACGCGTTTGCTCTTTGTGTTCGGTGGATGAAATGAAATTCCAAGACGATCAACACTGTTACTCCACGCAATTCTGCAGACGCAGAGACGATCGCGAAGGGGCACGCTTTACACCACATCACAAAACGCAACATTATTTCAAAGAAAGTGCTGTACTTTAGAAACATAAGATTCTCGACCCCAAGAGCATGAGTAAGTACTAAGTAAAAAACAACAACACTCAATTACTTAGAGCACGAACATCAAATAGACAAAAACGATGTAGAACCTAAAATATTTTCCAACAAATTTCACTTTAACTAAAACTGTTACACGTGGAATATTCTAAAAACAACATCTATGAAACAAAAATTAAATAATTCAAATAATTGTTCACACACGCGAACTCTAACCCCAAAGGGGAGACAGCACAACTTTTCTTTTTCGAAGTGAGTTAGAACCAAAAATTCTAAAACGACGTATTCCTTCCACGGTGATTGACATTAATTATTAGTTTTTGTAAGCTACTGAATTTGAAAACCATTCGCCAATAGAAACAATCAAACTAATGTGTTTTACTTTCAAAAAGAAAAAATCAACCTCCGAAACAGAAGGAGGCGCTGATTCATGAATAATGTAGTTGGCAAGCACCGGAATTACAGGAAGAAGAAACAAGCGAGCTAAACATGGAGCAGCGTGAATCGTTGAAACGGCAAATTGATCTTCTTCAAAGTACGTATGTTTGTGGAAATGTAGTTGATCTTTGACAGTCGGTCTGTGAAATAGTTTCACTTTCCTGTTTAGCGTGCCTTTTTTTCAAGTGTTTGTGTTTAATTCTTGTTTAATCGTTTGCTGTTACCTGAGCCACACTCCAATTGAGCTCGGTTCAGACTTTCCTGACTGAATTTCGTGAACGTTCGCTGGTGATGTGTTGGTCGCTATCCACGTTTGTCTGCCATCATTATTCTCTTGTCTGATGTTCAGCCTGAACACATCACTGTAGGTCGAATGGCTGATTTACAGCTCTAAGGTGACAGAACAAGCCCCGACAAACGGTTGCATTTCGCTGTCCCTGGTTCGAACCAAGCCAACAAGTAATACAGTATATGGTATTGACGGTTGGAAGCTATGCGAATGAATCGTATGTTTTTGTTTTGAAAATACACACTACACAGGGGGATTGGCTGTGTTAAAGCTCGATCTAACTAGAACACTGGAACAACATCCAGACGGGTTGTCCTCACGGCACTCGGGGGGAAAAAATCCATTTACAACACCTGGAACTGTCGTTCAATATCGCAGGGGTTCTTACAATTAACGTAGGTCAGTATCTGAGTGTTGAACCCACACATTAGGTCCAAAGCCTTTTCAGTAACACTGGTCAACAGTTTTGTATTTTTTATTTTATTTTTTGTGAAATGTTCCATAAAGCCCTTTGTTACAGCTGCAGCTGTTATGGAAGTACTGTATAGATACAGATGTCTTGTATTGAAAGACTTTGGCTTAGGGCGGCACGGTGAGCGGGTGGTTAGCACGTCCGCCTCACCGTGCAGATGTGCAGGGTTCAATTCCAGCTCCGGCCTTCCACTTTGGAGCATGCATGTTCTTCCCGTGCCTGTGTAGGTTTTCTGCGGGTACTCTGGTTCCTCCCATGTTCTGAAAACGTGGGTGGCAGGTTAATGAAACACTCTAAATTATTCCTAAGAGCGATTGTGTGCGTGGATGGTTGTTTTTCAATGTGTGCTCTGCGATTGCCTGGCACCCGGTTCAGGTTGTACCCCCGCCTACTGCCGGAGACAGCTGGGATAGGCTCCGGCACACCCGCTACCCTCCTGAGCAGAAGTGGATTAGAAAATGGATGGATGGACTTTGGTACACACAGTAGTGCCTCCCAGTGGCCAAGGTGGACACTGAATTGCATTGCGGCATCAAACCATGATTCAAAAAGTGCCTTACATTCGATTTAATTATGTAATTATCAGTGTTTTTTGGAAAATAAAATAATGTAGACTGCTATTTTTCCTCGTTAAAAAAGTACTGTCCTGCAGCTTCAGTGGGAATTGCAAGCAAACGGGGCAAAATAGCAGCGAAAAGAGTCACGGTCTTCCTCACGTTTTCAGCTGCTTTCATGTGGATGTATTTTTCTTTTCCAAATTTCAGGTCTCATCGATCAGCATAAGAGTGTCCATGGCAACGCGCCAAGGCTTCCGGAGGTGGCAACAACATCCAGAGGGACGGGCCACGGTGCCTCTGCAATGAACCCGCCGAGCTCATACGCTGGTCCGAGCCACGCTAGCTGGAGGAAGACTTACTCTCTCAAAAACAAGAACCCCGCATCCACCGGCTCTAGCGCAGAACGCCATTCAGACAGTCAGGTTTCATCTCAGCGTGCACCGCGACCCGGCATCCCCGGTGAAAAAAGTGGCACATCCGAGCCTTCCGCTGCATCGTCAAAGATTGCGCCACACGAGGAAAAGGGACGAAGAGAAACTCTTACCACAGGGATTCCAACTGTACAAAGACGGCCAAGGCATCAACGGCTGGTTGAGGGTTCTTCCGAAAGGCACCCTTCAGCCAAAGCCAGCACCCTGACCGCCGGTTCTGTCATTCCCCAGTTGCAGAATCCGCCCTTTGTCAAAAGTCAGACCGACAGCACTGACGCCCGACAGCCGGACTCCAAACAAACGATTGCCCAAGGCACCGGCTCATCACCGCACGCTTCACCTTCTAAGCCGCTAAAGCAAACGTTCAAAAACCTTCCTTTGTCTCAGTCGAGCCAGGCCGCAGGCAGGCAACCTCAATCCAAGTTCACTTGGGTTAGGAGTCAGAGTTGTCAAACCGGACCGAGTAGCTCCGTGGCTTCTCAAGCAAACCAAGACGTGAAAGTCAACTCGCCGCTTGGTGCGAAAGCTTCGGCTTCAAGCGCAAGCTCCCTCTCGTCCCCGGTCAGCAAGAGAGCCCCCGGCAAAAAGTCACGCAAACTGAGTCCACTCATCACAGGCCCCAGGGCGTCCAAGTACAAATGGGTTTCCTCCTCCGCTCGGGTCCAGGCGAAGAATTTAAGAAAGTCGTCATCGCCCAAAGCTCTGACCGGCGAGCAGAAAGCTGCGGAAAAGGGCGAAGCTCTGAAGAAACTCCAATCGGGCTCCTTTACCGGGACAAAGGTTAAACGGGGATTTGCAACGTCTTCCGCAAGTTCGTCATCCAGTCGCTACCACTGGAAGGCCGGTGCTCCCGGGCCGCCCCTAGCTGTGGCGAGACGGGAAGCGGTGGCCCTCCGGAGATCTTCCTTTGTTTGGGCATCGGAAAAAAACAACCGAGGAGCAAAAAAGGGGCTCGCTTACTCCGGCCTACCACAGGGATACTCGGTCCAGTCTTCACCCAACTCGTTCAAGCTTCGCAGCAGGATGAAAATCATCAGGAGGTCGGCCACCAGGTAAGTTGCAGATTCACTGGCGATTCAAACGGGTAGAAGTCGTCGACGCAGCCCCTTTCAAATGTCAGCTTTCTCTGATATTCACCTCCCCAGCACAAGCCATTACAAAAAAATATACACTGTGTGTGTGGGGGGTCAAAATAATCAACTGTGGGAACATGGGGAACTCGCTGTACACGAGGCCAACAGGAAAGCATGCTGGTGGCGGCATGGTACATCGGGACTGTTATTCTTCAGCAGGAGGAGGAGGAAGAAATTGGAGCAAGTGCCACTCGCATTCAATCTCCCCGTTCTCTCGTCATGTTCACGGCAGCAAACCACTTCCAGATGATTTGAAGCCTGCGCTTCTAACTCCGGAACGGTTTCTCTTTTTCGTTTGGCTTACCTTAGCTCGAACGCTCAACATTTTGAGGAACAACCAGGTCAAGAACGGGCCATTGAACGTGTGTCGAACTTTTCAACTCAAGTGTCTTTCTCGCGCAACCACCGCTGTATACAAAGTGCTGTACGTGGAGCAAATATCACACCACAGGTTTCACTCGGATGTTTTTTTGTGACGGAGAGGGACGGGGAGGGCGGTGTTCAGGAAATCCAAACATAGACAAACCTTTTGGGCTCTGTCCAATTCGTCAACTATCATTTGATGACCACCTTTTGAAAGCAATTTGTTGACTGGCTGGGATCGTTTCACTTAGTTTCTGCTTTGTTCTTGTGCAAGTCCGAATGGAAACGGCTCAATGAAGGGAGGCCTCTTATTGGCTGCGAAGCACTCGACACGGGGCCACGTGCACAACCTCGCGAGGAGGACGCCCGCCAGGGAACTCGTGTCCTTTGGGAGACACAAGTTGAGGCGACTCTCTCCGACTTCATCAAGAACAAGTAAGTAATACAACCGTCGCGATTCCTCCCCCCGACCCGATGCCGCTTTCTTGGAACAGACACCGTCAATCTGCCCTTGGCCATTTTTGTCCACTGAGATTTCAGCTGCGCTGCCAGAAAGGCAAACAGGTTCCGTCCGGCTGGGAAGTTATCTTGCCCTCGTTGCGGGAATTTCTTGTGGTTTGTCACCGGGAACGCATCCAGGATGTCCAGTGGTTTTTCTTCAAACAAATGCAGATATTTAAAATGAGCAACAACTCAAAAAAAAAAAACTCCCCCGAAGAACCAAAAGGGAGTCTTTCTCTCTCCAGCAGGGGGCAGCAGGTGTTACCTTATGCTGCTGACATCTTCGGGAAAAGGCAAGAGGAGGGAGGGAAATTGATTGCCTGCTTTGGCCGCGATGGGGAGGGAACAAGTGCAGATAGCAGATAATTTGCAGAGGCGCTGCTATCATGTCTTGCCACTGCTCTCTCCCCTCCAGTAGATAAAAAGGAGCTAATGCATAATGATCATTTTGCAAATTGGATTGTTTTTAACGAACTGGAGAATATAGGCTCAACCTAATTGAAAGCAATCATTGTTTTTACTGTCCCATCCCCCATCCGCTTGCCCCTCCAATCCGCCGGTCAATCCTCACGCCCCGTCTTGGCATCATTTTCCACAGTCGGTGGAGTCCGAAGACATTAAAAAAAAAAAAATCAGTATTAAGGTGAAGCTTTATTTGTCCCAATCGCTCTGTGTCTTATCGCCGCTCTTTTCTGATTCTTTAATCCAACACGATCCATCCTGTCAACCCTCATTCCGTCTTGTGCCCGCTCACTCCCTCCTTGATTGACTCTTCCTACTTTTTGTCACGGTCGGAACCTCATTAGCCTGCAGTGGGATCAACATGCGTTCGGAATTAAAGATGGGGGATTCGGGAATTCAAGACAGAGAAAAAGGTGGCGCCGGGGGTGAGTGAAGAGGAAGATGGAGTGCTGAAAGCTGCTTGTTGCTGTCTGTGCCGTTGATAAGGGCGACTAATAAAGAGCAAATTGAATTACTAATGATAGGAAGCCGAGGCCCAATAGATGGGCCCATTAAAAAAAAAAAGGCAACCTTATGACCACTCACACATGCCTGGCCGTACACTCACAGGAGGAAGAATGCAAAAGTAAGTCTAGATTTCTTATGATGAAAAAGAGACCGGCTTTATTAAGCCATCGTCTGAATAACCGAAAAAGGACTATCAGGAACAATCTCATGCGCTCGCATTGCTCTGTGTTGCTGGCTTGGCTAAGGTGCGAGCTTGAAGAAAGAGAAACAAAAGCATGGTCACTGTCGCAGATGCACTTTGGCGCATTGATGCGACGTCAAACGCGCAAAGATGAAAACACTCCGAAGTGGCTACATTGGGGCAACAGGCTTGAGCTAGGCCACACCCCCGAAAGGCTCACATACTGTACCCCGCCCGCTACAGTTTGGTTTGTCCTCATGTCCAGTGATTGCACTGACTCAAAGCTGTTTATTTCTTGACATTTTCTTTGCTTTAAGATGTTGGTCAGCAAGGTGTGACTCTTTTTCTTGAACAACTCCTTTTGATTGGCGTGGAAAAGATGACAAATGGAATTTCAATGTCACTGGGAAAATGGATTCGATAGACGAATTCAACGGAGTTCCACGCAAAGTCACTGGAAGAAATCACCTGGGAAATCAAGGTGCTCCCGTACGTCTGCGCCTCTCAATTCTACTTTGTTCCAAATCCTACCCCAGTTGTTGCCAAACTTTGAGCCCAATATTTTCCCGTCTTTGCTCCAAAAGTTGCAGCACCTTTTAAACGTTGTCAAATGAGGGCAATAAGTGTTAGAAGTTCCGGTGAGGTCGAACATAATCCAAGATCCGATAAGACTTGGAAGGACCTTGAAGCGTTCACCGCATATTGTGTCCCTGCAGTACGTTTGCGAGAAGACTCTTGCCGTCACGTGCGCCCCGGTGTCAGCTCGGAGCAGATGCCCGCGTCTCCTGGTTGTGAGCCGTGTTTTCCTCAGCCGTTGCCAGCCGATCCTTGGCCCACAGGGACCAATTAGGGCCGGGCAGCTGCGGCGAGAACGAATGAAGGGGCTGCGGTGGTTGAGAGCGGTGCGTCAAAAGAAGGGCGGCGTGAATAAAACGGACTCAAAGATTTATGCTGAGCTTGAGTGCAGATCGGGAAACAACTTGTCGAAGAAGGAATCTGATTGTGAGCTTCTTCGTTGGGATTTCTTCTTGCGCGCAGTACCCACCCGTTGGTCTCGGGCACGATCGCGAAAGGAAGCGTAGAAACTCCCCCCGGCTCTGTGCGCTTGCCAAATAAGCGCCATAGCCAACAAGGGAGTTTGGCTCCCCTTCATCATGCTCTCATCCCCCCGTTTCCCTCCTAATCTTGAGCCTCTTTGCCCTTACTTTCACCTCAGCAAATGCGTCGCCGTATGCTCCCACCAATGCCCACCAGGTGCTGCAAACGAGCTAACAGAAGACTGACATGAGCAGCCGACATCGCAGAAGTTGTCCCCAGCGCAGATAATCGGAAGATTCCCAGTCGTCACTTGCAAATGGCTCGGCTTACCCGTGGGTTGCGCTAAACGGCGCTCTGCTCCCGGCTCGGCGTTGCCGATACTTTGTCGAGTGCGCACTTTTGGTTGATATTCTTCTTGTACTTGCACTTTATCTTCTCAGAACACCCCGATTACGGCTGCTCCCTCTGTGTTGCAAACAACAACAACAAAAAATACCAACACGCAAACAGTTGCACGCAGTTTTGAGGGCGACCGTAGTGGCAGGCCAATATTTTTCTACCGAATTGGATATTTCTCCTCGAAACGATTGTAGCCCAATTGCAAATTGGAGGGGAAAAAAGTTGAATACTCTCATCCCTTGCCTTTCCCTCAACACCAGTTTGCATTTTGGCACAAGGCCGGGCCTTTGTGGTTTTATATATATATATATATATATATATATATATAAACACACACACACACACACACACACACTCTGTAGGCCACGTTTGGTATCGTACAAGCTGGCCAAATGACTCGGTACCATAAATAAATAATGCGACAGAGCTGCTCAATTGTGTGTCAAAAAAAAAGGGCGCGGCGCTGAGCTTGTCGGTGCGCGCGAATGCAGAGACACAGACAAGACATGACAAGAGACGCGGCTGCAACCTCTCGTGCCACTACAGACATGAAACTCCTCGCCAAGAAGCAAGACGCACGCCGTGTTGTCTCGACTTACAGTATTTTGCCGACACGTCCGACAGGCGGTACGCTGTGTGCAAGTGGTTTTCCAAAGCCACCCGCGACAAGCTAAAGAGCTGATTGACGGCCGAGCCGGCCGTGCAGAATTCGGTCACCAACTCAAAGCAGCGGAGGTGAACTTGTGACACGTTTCACACCCTTCCCTTCTTGTCAAACGGGAGTGAATGGCGATGCCAAAAAGCGTTCTTTTGTTCAACGAGGCGCTCTTTGCATGACGCCGTTCGCCACTCAGTCACGCGATTGCCTTGCGTCCGAGCCATGAGGTGAAGACCTTCTATTCCGTCTGTGCTGACTTGGGCTGCAAGGAGCGATTCCATTTTCTGTATTATGAGTCATCGTGGCATCACTTGATTCTCATGATTGATCCGGTTCCAAATGTTCAAATCACAGATTCTGGCATTCTTTGCCACACTTTGCAATCCGTTCTCGTCGTTATTCTTTCGTGTCCCTCCCGCCCCAAGGGCTTGATTGAACGTGTCTCTCCGATTGTGCGCCTGAAATATGTGTTGAGGGAAACGTTTGAGCAGCTGAGCGGGCTCCATCACTCACTGCCCGAAAAGCATTAGCACCATGACGAACGCAAGACCGCAGTGGCATTCGCGAGCGGAACCTCACCCCTGATGGAAATCGAAGCCGCACCGACACATCTGTGCTTCACTCTTGGCTTTGCCTTTGGCTTTTTTTTTTTTTTTTGGTACACGGAGGCTCCAAACACTTTTCAAAACAGCGGCTGTTTGTCTTCATTCAAACCGCACATCTCATGTGACGCCACTTCATATCTGACACAAACCAATGTTTTTGACCGCCGCTATTTTTGATCTTGTTTTCCGCCACCGCCGCACCGAAGTGTTGAGGAGTGTTCACAAGTTTTGGTGAGGAGGAGAAAACAAATGATTTATACATGATATCTCAATCGCCGCCGTCAGTTTGCCTCCCGAGATTCACTCACTTAACCTTGGAGTGCCCCTTTCGCACTTGGAAAAAGCTTCCGTTTGAGCCCGCACACACAGCGGCGCGTCGTCTTAACGTATGTAATCGCGCCGGCCCTTAAGTGGACAAAGCCCCGGGGCTGCGCCTCTTGATGCCTCGAATGGGATTTGCTGATTGACAGGCACGGTCATAAGTTTTGACCTCACGCCAGTGGTGGCAAACCCGCATGAAACAGCGACGGCACACTCCCAAACTGGAGTCTTATCGGCTCTCGGGTCAAGGTTGGGTCAGAGGAAAGCAACGTTTTCCTTAGCTTGTGTCTCGCGGAAGCACAGAGCTGGTTACAGGAAACGAAAGTCGTCAGGGGGAAAATGGTCATTGCCACCAACCTTTCCCGTGCGGGCACGTCATCGTGAACATTTGGCGTTTGAAATTGCGAGGGGGGCTTCTAAGTCGACAGAGCGAGTCGTGCAAAAATGCAAATCTTCCAAGTCCCCGGGATGCCGCCGTATCCAACTTTGGCGAGTCCGTTAGAAAGCGGCGCGTCAAACGTACGTGGATCACGTTCAGAGCTTTTCTGGCTTAGGCCAAGTTATTAAATTGTGCCAGCGCCCCCGTTAAATCTGATGTTTGCGCGGCATCGCCGTCTTGCACAAGCGCGCTGGAGCTGTGGGAGTCGGAAGACGAACCCCGGGGAACGGGAATACGGGATGGCGGGAGGAACAGTCGCCGTCAATAATACGATTTAGTCTCCCATTAGTTCCAGCCGGGGAATGAGCAGCCTGAGACGGATGTAGCCTGGAATTTGCTGGCAGGTATGGCAGGAGCCGCTGGGGGGGGGTTGGAAGCATCTCGCGCGATGGAAAGGGCCGCACCGTGGCCTGTCAAGAATGGCTCAGCCTCATAGAGAGCACGTTCCTCTACAAACCCCGAGTTGACTTCAGACATGGACAAACGACATGGCCTTGTGTCCTACTTGAGAAAAAAAAAAAATCATTCCATGATTTTGTCCCTTATTAGATGGCACGCCGGTGGACCTTTGTGGAAGTGGAAGTGCCTTGATTTGGTCTGGCAAGCCACGCCCACCAAAGAAGTGGCTCTTGTGCAATCCGAGTCATCGATTGCTGCGCCGTATTCTTTTCGTGGGTGACCTCGCTCTTTGGCGGCAAACAGGCTCCATCGCCGGTACTTGGTTCACGTCCGCCTTCCCTCGTAGAAAAATGACCATCTTTGATTCGCAAAACACCGAAGCCGCAAAACTGGACGCGCCAAGCGGCCAGGGATCCCTGTACGTTGAACACGTGACAAAAACTTGCTTTGGTGTTGAACTATTTCAATATGCGGCGCAAATGTTGTGTCCGAGTTGTGCTCGCGAGTCGTAAACATCAGTTGTCCCCGTCGGCGGGCACCCAGTGAATTTGCTCGCCGGTACATGCTCTCCTTTCAATCTAGAGCCGCCTCCCGCGTGCCCGGAGCGTTGTGGAGAAGGAAAAAAAAAAAGCGCGCCATTTCATTGTTTGCAACTTTGTGGCTGATGAACCCGGTTTGATATCAAAGGTTAATTAAAATCGCAACCGTCCTTACAATTGGCAATTGAGACTTGGGAAAAGGAGCCGGGGGAAATGAGCTCATCACAGGATGCATCAAGCCCTTTATTATTACCCCCCCACCCCCCCCACCCCTCTTGTCTTTACACTCAATTGAGTGCCAACGCCAAAGTTGGCCCAAGTGCGAGCGATTGCGTTGAACATGTTGTCAGCATCTCGTGAATTTGTTCTTGTCCAGCATTTCTCGGATTGTTGCTCCATTCTGTCCAATCCACTGACTAAAGCGCCGTGAAACGTGACCCTCCGACAAGAAAAAGCTGATTGGAACGCCATCTTTCTCCGACCGGCGCTAACTGCGTAAACCGTCACGCATGAAGCGGCGAGGCATTGGCGGCTTGATGAGCGCAAAGTCAAAGCAGACCATCGATGAGGCTCGCCAAAAGTCCTCCGGCTTGTTGAGATGCCCACCTGACATCGAACTCGGCGGCCGCCTGCTCACATTTGCCTTATTTGTTATGTCACGTCTCACTTATCGGAATAAAGGTCAACTTTCCCGTCCGCAGGTCCGGCCTTTTCCTTCCATCGCGCTCCTGCCTCGCCGAGGATTTGCCGATGGCAATACAAGCTGATGAGCGCCGCGGGCCCCCCTGCTGCATACGTTCTTCCCTGCCGCCATGCCCTCTCCTGGAGAGCCAAGAAAATCCAGTCAGCGAGGTAACACCCACGCAAACACGAGCGCCACCCGCAGGTCCCCAAATCCTTTCAGTTTCAGCTCCTCTCGGAGCCCCTTCTTTTGCATCTCAGCCCGATGTCAGAAATGCATCGTTCTTGTTTTTTCCACGGTGGGCAACTCGGAGAAATAATCAACGGCACCACTCCTCACCGAAATTCGCTTTGAAGGGACTCGCTTCTCGCTCTTTTCATTTGAAGAATTTCTCACTGTGCCTTTTCATTTCCCGATCGGGTTGCGGGATGCGGTGCGGGCGTCCTTTGCATCGTGCAGCTTTGGTTCGCCGGTCGAGCCCACAATGCGGCCACTTAGCGCTACAATGTTCATTGAGCCGCGGCAGTAAATATTGACTCATCGGGGGAGTTCCCATTTGAGCCCCTTGACGCCCTGTGAAATAGTACTTGGCGTTGGAAGTGAGATAGCGAAGGAGAGGACCGCTCCTTCGCTCACTCACTTCTTTTGAATGCTCATCTATCTGGCGCCGGTTCAGTTTTCACGCATCGGACAGAGCGTCGATCCGTTCCGCGGCGTGCGCGGTGACGAGGCTGCTGGATTTGGAGGTTCTCGGTCGCTCCGCAACGTGAATAGCCCTCACGCGGAAATATTTCAGGACGTGAACTTGAACTTTGGGCTTTCCGAGGAGAATATTGTCGTGCGCAATCATTGGGTGAGCATTCGTGTCCGGAATGATGAGGCAACCAAGTGACAAGGGGGGGGCCATCTTGTCATCCCAATCCCACTGCGGGGCGAACCGTTGGCAAAGGGAGCAAAATGTGTCATCGAGATCCCCATTTTGCACCGGAAGACCGTCCCCCTGAAACAACCGAGCTGTCTAGCTGAAGAGGATTTGCACAGCGTACGAGCCCGGAGGCTCTCCGATGACCGCTTCCCCCTTTGAAGGGCAAGGCAAGAAACAGGCCAAGGAGATCCGAGAGCAATTGCCTCTGGGACGGGAATCGTTTAGTGCTGGTTGCGCTGCAGTCAAATAAGTCACGCATGTGTCCCGATGTTTTCCTCAGATGGGATTGGCTTCCTTGGAATGGTCGCGTTGGGTTCAGAATCCCGGGCGCGCAAAGCGAGACTCAACTGCTCTCTGGAACTGTTTGGCGAACGTTCAGTTCTTTCCAGTTCACTGGGGTTGCCCGGCGCTCTGCCGGCTTTGGCTGAAGATACTCTCTCAATTTCAATTTTGACCAATTTGGGCAGGAATCCAAGCATTTCCAACAAAACAAGCTGGCAGAACACCCCCCCCCCCAAATGCTCATGTCAAGGTACTGTGAGACATATTCATCTGATAGGCAGGGGGCCGCTAAAGCACTCGCCGCAAGCGGTTCGGACTTGCCAGCCGCCGCTCCCTTCGAAGACAGGAGATGTCGTGCTTCCGCGTACCCCGACTGAAGGAAATCAGGACACGAGCCTCACTTCAGATCCAAGGCCGGGTGACGCTCGGCAGTCAAGTGCTCCGTCAGAGCTCGCCAGGCTGCCGCTGGCCCACGTAGGGCGGCCGCTGATCTTATGGGCGAGCGTGCCGGCGAGTTGCGCTGGGCCGTCGGGCTGCGCCGTGAGCCGTCGAGTCCGTCCGCGCGGCATCGCGGCGACATTCTCTTGACCACGTGCGGCCCAAACGGTTGCCTGGCGTATGCTGCGCGTTGGGCGCCGCGCTCTCTTTCCTCTGTAATGGGAGGCGGGAACCGTCGCTCCAAAGCCATTCCCAAGCCGTCTGAAATACGGCAGCAAATTACCTCCGGCGGCACGCGGCGCCGCGGCGGCGGCCCGCACCCAATTGGAAGTGACAGGACAGTGCAATTTATGGCCATAACCCTTGCGCTGCCCCCACCTCGCATCCTCGTCCACGCTGCAGGCTTCCACACCGCGGTGGAATGCACCGAAGGACTTGGGAAGGCCTGCGGCGTGTGTGTGTGTGTGTTTGGCCGCTCCACAGTGGGAGGTCAAAGCCCCCCGCTCTGGCCCCGTTACCCTGCCTATTATCTCATTGATTTCCTCCTGGCCGCTTTTCGCTCGTGTCCGTTTCCACGCTGCCATCCTTTCCACGAGCGGAGCGATTCAACAGAGCGCTGTGACATGCTGGAGGTGGAGGCGCGGTGTCGGCGGCGAGCCGACAGGTTGGGAAACAGAAAAAGAGCCTGGCGACGAGCCGCCGGTTACAAAAAGCACTAAAGTGGTAGAGAAAGCGATGAGCGGATAATGAGCTGGCTGTTCCTTTTCTTCTTTTTTTTCTCCCCTAACCTAAAAAAAAAAAAAAAAAGCAACAAAAAAAAAACAGTCTATCGAAACCAACACCAGAATCCGTGCTGCGGGCAGCCATTGTACACCGATGTGCTCAATTGACTCCCATTTTATTTTGTCAAGAGCTTGCATGAAATCAACTGGCTTTTGGGGAACACGTTGCAGGCGTCGCTTCCAGAACGAGAGATGAGCAGCAAAACGCAACATTGCTCCGGTTGAACATGCAAGATCCGGTGTGCGTCGATTGAATTTCGGTTGAGCGGGATTTGCCCATCGCGGTGTTGTGTTCGTCTCGACATTTTGTGGCGCAAGAACTTTGGCATCTTGAGTTTGTCGCTCTTGTTTTTGGCCCCGCAGAAGTTTCCTCCAGAGCCGTCAGAGATCGTCTCTCAACCGATACCCGACGCCCGCTCGCCACCGCGAAGAATCGGCCATGTGTTGGATCCGGGGGCATCTCTACCAAGTCTCGGCCAATCGCTTGTCCCGAACCGTCTGCCGCCACACCTCGATCAACCGAACAGGTGGACTCACGCCTCTTTTCCGTTGGGACGGAAGGAGCCTTTGCGTGTTTTGCTTGTGAGCCAAAGGTTGACACCTGTGGCAGGAGGTCACCCGTGGTCTCAATCGGAGTCCGCTTGCCGCTCTTTACTCGTTTTGGGTGTTTTGGGTCAAATACTCTTTCCTGGATCGAAGTGGAGCGCTAAGAACTCATTTCTGCCCACACACACACACACACAAAAATGACGAATAATCTGACTAGATCGGCAACCTCCAAAACATGATCTTGAGGTGTTTTTGCAGTTTGGCTTGCGACTTTGACATTTCCATCGACACGGTCCATCACGACCAACCCAAAACCACATCAAACTGCACCCTTGATCTATTGGGGGCGGGGGTCAGTCACAAACGCGCCCCCTCTTTGGGTTTTGCACCGGTTCAACCAATGGAAGATCCATTTTTTTTCTGATGATTGATTGATTGATTGATTTAGTTGAGTGCGCGGGGTGCAGGGGGTGTTTATGATGATCCGAGACCGAGCTGGATATCGCGTTTCGTGTCTGTACTAAAAATAACTCTACCGTGCCAAGGTACGACTGCCTTTAGCTGGACCAATAACGGTCTTTTTCTTTTTCTTTCCCCCGCCCCCACCCCACTCCAAAATTAGGAAGAAGCTTTTCCCAAGTCTCTTCTGTCACTTGTGCCAGCAATCACCCTTCCAGCCCTCGTCATTTTGCCAGGTAGGCACATCTTTTTGGGTGCCTTTTGATTCTTTTGGACTCGGCACTTTTTCAACAGCCGTTGAACCCCCGACGAGTTCAGGAGCCGGATCAGCATCCTAAGTCCGTCTCCTCCCCCGCATTGTTGTATCCCAGCTCCCTTTTCGAAGGCGGATTGGAGCTTTTTGTCCGTCCGGGGGCGGGCCTCTCCATGGGGTCCGAACCGCCTTGGCACACGCGCGATGCCCGCCATGAAGCCTTTTTGCTTTGTGTGTGTGTGTGTGTGTGTGTTTGCCAACCCAGCCGTGCGGTCCAGCGCAGCCTCGCCATCATCAGGCAAGCTCGCCAAAGGAAGCAGAGGCAGTACTGCATGTACTACAACCGTTTTGGCAAGTGCAATCGCGGCGGCGGATGTCCCTACATTCACGACCCAGACAAAGTTGCCGTTTGCACAAGGTAAGCGGCATGATTCGGACAAAACCCCAGGATGACCCAAGAGCTTTTTCAACTCACAAAAAAGATCACCGTCACCCTTGACGAACACACGCGCAGGCTCACAGACATACAAAGTTCGCCGTTTGTGAAAAGTTCACACGCAGTTGACGCATCAGCGCAGCGTTTGTGTTCTTTTGTGCCACCCGAGTGCCCCTTTTTGCCTTACGTCAAGGGTGTCAAACTCATTTTTGTCGCAGGCCACTTTTGAGTTGAGTCTTCCTCGGAGGGCCGTGATGATCTTTAATCTCATGATCGCATTATTCCTCGTAAGGGTAACAAAATGATTGCAAAATCTCTACGTCATTTATGACACTTGACAATTAGACATTTCGGTACATTTTTTTAGCAAGGATCATGCAAGTTGACACACATGATTTTCTTTCGGAGGGCCACATAAAATGATGTGGCGGGCTCGATCTGGCCCCGGGGCCTTAGGTTTGACACCTAGAGTTAGTAGCAAAACATCGTTTAGGTATTTGAGGTATTCCAAATGCGTCCTTTCACAAGAAGCCCCTTTTCTCCCCATTTTGCTTGGGAAACGAGTATTTTCAAGAAACTTTGCAATGTTCAACTGCTGTTGACTAAAGAACGGTAAAAGGTCGAAATGCGCCTTATTTTGTTCCTGATGAAAGAAGAGCGTAAAAGCTTTAGTGCCACATTTTCCGGAGGCCGGCGGCGGCAGCGGCTCTCCCAATGTGAGAAAAACGGCCGATATCAGATGAGTTAAAGTGAGTGAAATATTTGACTGGTGAGGCTCGACTCGGGCATGGAAGGCTCTGCCAATCAAAGGGGAGGCGCAGCCTTGACACCCGTTTCCCCCCCATGAGCACAATCACGCAGGCCAACCCCGTGTCAACTTTTCCAATGGAGCGTTTGCAACTTTTTGCCCTTTTAAAGCCGCTTTGCAATCTGCTCACAACCGACTCGATGCAAAATGGACACCAAAAAAAACATTGCAGGTCACTCATCCCATTTGATATTTGTCTTGTACAGATTTCTTCGCGGAACATGCAAACAAGCAGACGGGGCTTGTCCGTTTTCCCATCGGGTCGCCAAGGAGAAGGTGAGCCGCCGCCGCCGGTCCGTTGCTCTGCGCCACCGCAACGCGTCGCCTTTTATGCCTCTGGCAGGTATGCGGCGACGCCGTTGGCTCCACTTTTCAAGGATCACATTCATACATTGTTGGCTCGACGCGGTGCGGGTGAGCTCATACGAGAGCCTTTCCCTCGGAGCTTGCGAGCTTTATGCGATCGCCTCTCTCCATCTCGGCCTCCCGCCCGTCCGAGACGTTCCGTTGGATGTGGAATGTCTCGGATGACTCCGGGGATTAGTAGCCAGAAAAGGAAAGCTGAGTGGGGGTGGGGGGGAGATGTGAGACAGACGAACCCCGCAACAGCCTCCCTGTCGGCACGCGCGCCTTGCACCTGTGTCGGTTGTCACACCGCTCCCCAAAAGTGCCGAGAGGCCAGCTGCCTGCGCTAGAGCCGCCTCTCCCCGCAGCCACACCTGCCCGCTTTAGCCCCTTCCTTCCTCCCCAGCGCGTCGGCGCTCTTGTTTCTCGGGGACGCCCGCCCGAGAGCTATTTGGAGTCTTGAGGAGAAGGCCTGGATATGCGCGACGGCCTTCCAAGTTATGCGCACGGCGCCCGTCCAAAGCCGAGACGAGGGGGGGGGGGGGGGGGGGGGGGGGGATGGACGGACGGACGGATGGCTTGAATCCCGGACCCCGCTGCCACCCCACTGGCTCGCCGTCACCGCAAATAGGTGCTCTGGGCCCCTCGCGCGCAGACGCCCCCTCGCGCGCAGACGCGGTCCCCCTCCCCCCTCCCCCTGCCGCCGCACGAGCGCTCGTGGAGGTGCTCCAGAATCAACTTGTTTCTGGCGCAGTTAATGAGCAATCCATTCCCATTCCCGTCCGCACTCGGCACCCCTGAGCACCGCTCCCTGAGATATTTTTAGGTGGGCCTCCGCCGGGCTCACCCCTGCATGCCGCGCACTCACGCACACGCACACACACGTGCTGTCAAGACGCGCGTTGACTTGCATCTCCCGCTCCCAACTGCAATTAAGGTTGCCGAACTGCTGGGCATAGCGAAGGAGCGGCTTCTGCGACCCATCTGATCTCCGCTTGACAGTTGCGTGGCTCCAAAGCGGCCACCTGTTGACAAACTCGTGTAATCGCTTGTCATGTCAATCCTCACCACTTCATTCTTTTGCCATTACTCTGCGTCTCTTCTTTCCCGCTGGCGTTTTTAAACGCAAGTCGTCACCCCTGACGTCCAACAAAAGTGAATTCGGAAGGAAAACAAAAGAAAGACTCTTGACCGTGTCTCTTTGGTTTGCCACCCGCAGATGCCGGTTTGCTCCTACTTCCTGAAGGGAATCTGCAACAACAGCAACTGTCCTTACAGTCACGTCTACGTTTCCCATAAAGCAAAAGTTTGTGAAGACTTTGTCAAAGGCTACTGCCCCGAAGGAGAAAAGGTAAATGCCGATACCGTCCACGAAGACGTGATATTTTCCTCTTTTTTTTCTTGTTGTTTTAAATCCAGCCGCACTTGGTCTCCTCGAAGGCGACTGCCGGAACTGGAGAATGTCATTGTCCCAAAAGCAGCCATGAATACCATCAACTTTCAGTCTATTGATGTTCTCCTAGCAGATAAAATCAAAAAAAAAAAAAAAAGACTTGAAATAAATATGTTCAGGCGGCACGGCAGTCGACCGGTTAGCACGTCCGCCTCACCGTGCAGAGGTGCAGGGCGCTCTGGCCTTCGCGTGCGGGTTTTTTTATCTTCTCCGCGTGCCTGCGTGGCTTTTCTCCGGGTACTCCGCTTTCCTCCCACATTCCCAAAACATGTATGGCAGGTGAATGGAACACTCTAAAAAAAATGGTCCCTCGCTGCGAGTGTGAGCACGGACGCTTGTTCGTCTCCGTGTGCCCCCCGACGGGCTGGCGACCGGTTCAGGGTGGCCAACTGCCCGAAGACGGCTGGGAGAGGCGACCCTCGCGAGGAGAAGCGGATTTGAAAACGGAGGCAGGGTTGGTTGGACGTCGTTTCTTTGAGCTTTCCTCATGGCCGCCGTTTTGGTGAAACACTTTTGAGACCAACGATGTTAAGTTCCGACAACTCGGCCCGCCAATGGAGATAATCCGCCGATGATTGATGGAAATGCATTTAGGGTGGGATCAGGGGATTCCTCAAAAACTGCTGATTCAAACATTCACTCTAAATTTTGCACGGAAATGGAGGGTGGGGGCGATTTGGGGAGGATAGGCCAGAGACTGGGGGGGGGGGGAAAACAAACAACAAG